TGGAATCAATTGTTTTTAGAGATCTTTAGAATTTCTAAAGATTGTTGGTAGCATTTTACTCTGTCTTAGAACTGATTTTTTATTTATTTTATTTTTTGCAGAAATTTCAACTAAATTTTCTTTGTAGTTATTAAAAAACACAAAAGATACTATCTGTTGCTTGTTTCAAAACTTTAAACAGACATCAAAATTTTAAAATAAAAAGAATATGCTCCAGGGTGTTGTAATAAAAAAGAGATGTGTAATTTTTATTAATAAACTTGTTTTAACATTATGTTATTAAAAATCATTAAAAGTATCAGTAACTATATACTACAAATAACATAAATATGTTTGATTTCTTTATAACATTGAATGTACTTGATTATGTGAACACAAATTTGTTATAAAAGTCATAAAGAAAAGCTATTTATATTCAAGAAGAAGTTGAATCAAGAAGTGGAAATTAAACAAAACAATAGAATAATCAGTTTATTAACAAGATAATAATGAAATGAATGAAATCTTGAATAAATCTTTTAAGTGTTTTGAGAGTTTGGTATGTGTATTTTTTTGTGGACATGCAACTGTAAAAAAGAAAACTAAATAAAAAAAATATATATAACATTTATTATAGTGAGAATTTGAAATTGGATGTCTTATAATAACACCGAGAAACGTTTTTCCATATGAAAGATTTTGTAATTGGTTGTTACAAGACTTATAAATTTTGGAACAAGACTACTATCATAAAAAATGAATTTTCTTCTAAACAAATTAATTAATTATTTTTGGATCCATCTACATTTAAAAAAACGGTCGAGATTTTTTTTTTAAATTAAAAAGTTATTAAATTTATAGTTTTTAATATAAGAGAATATAAACATACCTCATGCATTGATTTTTGAGATTCTTTTGGACAGTGATTTTAGAAATCATATTAATTTTTAAACTATACTTCAACTTATTTTATCTTTTTAATCTAAATATTGATAAATTAATGATATAAATCTTAAAAAACCAATTACTTAATTAATTGATTCCATCTAATAATTTTAAATAAATAATGCAATCATTTGAGGATTTTTTATTATTATAAATCATTAAATCATTAGCCTATTAGATTACTAAATTTTATACTACATATCCAAAGATGGTTGAGTTATTAGATTTGTGTTGTTTTTCTTATTTTTTTTCATCTAAGTTTTAATTAAAACTTAAAAATTCACTATAATTAAAATTTAGATATTTAATAACTTATATATTCATAATAAACAAATTGAGAGAAGATATAAGGATAGACCAAAGGACATAATTTAGTTAGACATTTCAATTTGGTCAAGCCAATCTATCTTCAAGTATCAACAAAAGAAAGATGATTGTTGATTCTATCAGCGCAGCTTTAAGATCAAACTAATCAAGGAATTGCTCAATTCTAGATCAATATCACCTAGACGGTGCTTATAACTATAGAATTTGGACATATTATATAAAAAATATGATTCATTAAGATGGACTCTATATCTATTGCATTACACCATCTTTAATTGTCATGTCAGATGCAAAATGGTTGAAAAAAGAAAATGCTCTCACAACCATTAATAACAATGCTGAAAATGTAGCGTTTTATTAGCTGAAGAGATACAAGGAAACATATTCGTGCTAGAAAAAACTCCAATATATGTATGAAATCTTCAATGGATCATGTAAAACTATGTTTATTGAAAAAAATTAACATAAAAAAGTTAGAAAACACAAGTATAGATTTATTTTTAACTAATGTGAAGGAAGTTGTTGATTTTTTAGAAGAAGTTGGTATTGACTTGCTTGAAGATGTGATAGTCTATAGCATCATAAACAATCTTCTTATCAATATGAGATTTCAAAAAAATAACATCAAATATAGATAGATTTTTCATATATGAAGCTCTAGAATCCAAGCTCATCAATATTGAGATCTCATTGAACTTAGATTTGAGATGAAAGATAACAAGTGAGGCTCTATTAATTTAAAGAAGATAAGATTATTATTATTGTATAATAACACAATTACATGGTGAAAAATAAAAATATAGATGTTATTATAGAAGAGCCTAATAAAAAGATGTAGTAAAAAAATAAGAATAAATGATAGAAAGATGGTAAAAGTTTTAGTCTTAATATTGCCTTTTATAGAAGGGACTTCTATTTACTTTGTAGGAGCATAAATGCCTCAAATTAAAATAAATGAGATAAATAAATAATATAAGTAACTTTAGAAAAGAATCAAAAATAAGTCTAAATGAAATTTACCTCAAATTACTAAAAATTGATATATAGAGAGGACCAATTATGAACATGGATCAAAATCAGACCTTAAGACATAAAGCCATTTATCTATGGCAACTTTGACGTACTTTTGAGAATTAGAGAATACAATTTAGAAGCAAAATAAAGATAAAAAATTTAAAAGTTAGTTTCATATCATTTGGATTATTATTAAGGTTATGAAGAACGTTTAAAGTTAGTTATATATTAAGTAGATTCAGATTTTGAGAAATAAAACTAAGTTTATAAATTTAAGGATTTTGTGAGTTTTATAGCATATTCATGGATGAAAATTTGAAAGTTCATTTTTGTGCTTGTTTTAAATATGTTTGAAAATTTTGAAGTGAATTGAGTAATTAGATTGAAGAGTATAAGAATTTTTGTGGATTATGGTCTCAAATAATTAAAATTTAGGATCAATGAGGAATTTCACAATCTGGCAATATCTACAAGTTTGATTGAAGCAAAAATTAGTCAGAGCAATTAAGATTTAAATACCTATACACAATCTAAATTTTGGATTTTCATTATTATTTAATTTTAGGAATTGTTCTAAGATTTGATTAAGATTTAAAAGGATTTTAATTAGAAATTTGATTAGAATTTAATTAGGATTTGATCCAGAAATTGATTAAAATTAATTAGGATTTCAATTAGAATTAATTGCAATTGAATTAGGATTTATTTAATATTTTAAAATATTTTTTTTATTTATTTATAATTTCATGGTTTTAGTATTTCTTTAAGATCATTTTTATATATTTAAAGTTTTATTTTTATACTTCTTTAGGATTTTTTTGTTATTTTTCTTTAAAATTAATTTATGACTTCTATGTGTCTCTTTTTCCCTAGTGACATTTCTTGGTTGCCTCCAGCCTTTCTACCAGTATCAGTAAACTCTACCTTTAGGGTCAAATGGTGTGCACAAAGCAGGAATCGAATGCGCAATTCGGCGATAATAGCACATGTTACTAGCCCATCGACGTACAGAAGTCTCCCAGTAGCCACAACCACGGCGGTTGCGAGGACTTCACAAGCTTGAAGAAGCACGCACCTAAACAGGAATTTATTCAGATTCGGGCAAAACAATTCCGAAGTTTACCTTCAGGTTGTCTCCACTCAATTTTCACTTCAACGTTCTGTTCATTACAACCTTCGTGTGCCTCCTCCACACTAGACCCTTCCCTACGTTTAGAAAGGGCACCTTTATCCCCTCCGACGCTTATTGTTCTTCTTCTGATCTTTCGTTACGAATTTTAACTAATATTTTCATTCCTATCGTATGAGTTCAGATGTAAGCCAAGGTATACCAGGTCCATCCATGATGCCAATTACAATTGAGAAGCTACCAGTGCACCATTACAAGCCTCCAACTTGTCAGAGTCTGGGGGGACACCCGAAGTTAACCATGAAGGGCGTCAAACTCAGATCCTGAAATCTTGTTCATCGACTTGGCAGCTGCAATTGGGCAAGCTCTGGAACACGATAGTGTTGTTGAAGCGACTATCCGCTCAGTAGAAGGCAGGGCATTTAGTTAGCATTGACCACAGATTCACTTGAAACTGAAAAAATTGCGATGTTACAAACTGATATTAGCACACAACTTTCCCCAAAGACGCTTCTCACAATTTTCGAAACGAGGAGGGTAGCGGCCATGGCATCTCCATTCTCAAGTGCTCATCGCCCATGACATCCATAACAGCAGCGGCATCCACAATTTAGATCAATCTTAGAAAGCTACAAAACCCAATGGAAGCTTCACTAAGTCCTCGAATACGATGCACTAAGTCTTCAATATATATATATATATATATATATATATATATCTCTCATTGCATCTGTCGTTTCCAGCACTGGTGGGTTGCGTAATCGAAGCGCGAGACAAGTGACGAGCACTTTCTTCAGAAATGTCCCATGCTTTGCTAATTCCCTTGCATCCAAATGCATGCTAAAGCAAGTCACAGCTCCATTGTCAAGCCTGATGCAGCATATCCTCACGAAGTTTACACCGACAGATCTTTACGGTCCAATGCAGATGTTATTACGTTGTTCCGGAAAATTTTGAAAACACTTCCCCTGCACCGAGGTCAAACTTCGGACGTGTGCAGAATTGACGAGATCTTCCTGAAACGATCTCCTAATGGCATTGAATTTCTGCACTCTGAGTTGGCATGGAACATACAGTGAATTATATTGCACTTGCGATAGTCTTTCCTGACCTGAAATAACTTTAATGATAAGGTCTTATGACAAGTCTCGAATAAACAAGAGAATTCCGTAATCTTACTATTGATCGATCATTCAAAGCAAATTCAAGTGAACAGTGCCACAGAAATAGGATGAGGGCCACAAGTTAGAAAAATACCCACTTCACCAACCCAGTCTTAATTTGGCTGGAAAAGAGCTTCATGCTAACGCTTACAAGATTGCATTAGGTATTGAGTGTTGAGACTTGACTTATATAACGATATATTACAGGACGTTAATTTTACTACCCAAGAATTGAGACTTCATTCTTGTTCAAAATCCCTTGACAACGAAATCAACTTCAAAACAAAGCACGATTTTCTTTTAGCATCAAGTTATTTTCTGATCCATAGAGTTTTACAACTGAAACTTTGAATTTTCAGTAGCAAAGGAAGTTCGGATATAATGTGATACAGCACTAAGTTGATTACAATGAGAACCATGAAGTAAGGAAATACACTAGAAGGTAACCTGAATCAAATAACTGTCCTCATTGCACCAGATCTTTTAGATGTGTGCTTCTGGTAACATTTCCAAAGAAGAATGTGTACTCATAAATCAAAATACAACTTCTGTCCCTAGAATCCAAATACAAATTACCAATGCAAAAAGAAACTTGCGAATTCCTAGAAGATCTTGGTCTCAGCACTCATGACTTCGTGGATGCATCCACAGGCAGTTAAGAGAAATTCAGACCCAATTTTCATTTCTACAACTGAGAACTAAAGCGATGAATAATACCTAAACGTATTGCCCAGGTAAAGAGGGTATCAACTGTGTACAACTAAAACTATTACAAAAAATTGTACAAAGGATCTAGACCAAGTTACTCCTTTTCCGCTTGATAGTTTTAGAGGAGGTCAACTGCTTCTGTCGCAATGCAGAGAACATCTCGTACACCTATGTCATGACAGCGAGGTAAGCATTAAATCCACGTTTCAATGCTAAGATAAACATTTTTTGCGTATACTCAGAAAAGCAAAGAGAGGTTGGATGAGGTACGCAGCAAGACTCAAGCTGAAGCAAACACGTCGTAAGCCGCTAAAAACCTCTGATACACATGAAAGGGAAAAACAGAACGCACCTTCTTGACACCAGATGTCAATCCAAGACTATTCATGCTATCCAAGTCAACCCATTTTGTTACGACAGAACGTTGCATTTTGGGGGTACTTTTGTCCTCGATTTCTCCTGCAAGTATACGACCCTTACAATCAGAAGGATATCTGGTACAAGAAATAATCTTACCGTCCCTACGCATGAAAAGAAGATATACTAAATTTTATATCTGCATTTTCATGAAGGAGTATCCCGCTGAAGCAGTCAGGACAAAGATATCATCGGCCATCAAAAATTTGAGAAATTTACCTGTACTCAGTAGCATCCATTGAATAAACATGTGAAGACGAATATGCGAGAAAACGTGTACGTAAGTCCCGAATTCTTCCCGCTTCATTACAGTATAGCCTCCGCTTCCAATCTTAAATCCTAGTGTGTCACACAGGTAATTATCCATTTCCATTAACCTGGACTTTTCTGTGCTGTTGGGATTATCCAGTGGCGCAGATGGGAACTCCCACAAACCAGCTAGTAACCCTTTCGGAGGTCGTTGAACAAGTAGCAAAGACGAGGCTGCCTTAGACATTTTTGTTTGAGACTCAAGCTCTATGATGCACACTGCGACATATTCTTCTCGAGGTGCAGACTTCGGAACTTTAGCTGGAAAACATGTCACTGACGTTACGTTCTTTTCAACACGATGGACTAGTTTTAGCGCTGCACATTGACTTGAAACTGAACACAAAGCACAAGAAGGGCTTGTAGGTGTGCAGATGGTAGCTCCTAGTTCCATCAAAGCTTGATTGAAATCCCCTGGTCGATATTCCTCAACTAATTGTGAAGCTAAGGCCCTGCAGTGTCATACACAGAGAGGATCACTAAGTCCATTATTATCTGAGATAACAATAAACAGTTCTGGATAAATTACTATTTGTTGCCTGAGGAGTTTTCAATTAATTAGGAGTTTTAAATATGCAGTTCGACCAGGCGAGGGAGCTCGATGCAGAAGGTCTACTCTATAATTACACACTAGAGAAGAGATATATTATGCTGCTAGAACAGCAAAAACAAGAAGTTCAACAATGAAAAAAAAATTAAAAAATACAAATAATAAAAAGTTTAGCACTTTGCTGTTGACAAAACAGTACTAGAATCTGCATGTCTCGTTGAGATGCAGACAATTAACTGACCAGAAAAGCTTCACAGTTGTAGATGCTTTTGGATTCAACGAAATAGCTCGTAGTCTGCACAATACTCGGATAACATTGCCATCAACTACTGGGACTACCTGCATCGCCGCCTCACAAGTTTAGGGTCAATCATGAGAGCTAAGTAAAGTGCGTTCACACACAAGAACTCTAACTGCGTATACTAAATCGGCAACTTAACGTATCAGGGACAAGATAAGTTCAAATAATTAGCCGCCAAACCTGTTTGAATGCTATGGAAGCAATAGCACCGGCAGTGTAAGTTCCAATGCCGGGCACTTTCTGTAGCTCTTCAGCAGTTCGAGGAAATTCACCTCCGAACTCTTCTACTATTTTTTTAGCCCCCTATACAACAAAAGAAAGGTTAATTAGAGATGACAGTAAAAGTATGCCATTCGATCTTAGGTTTCTACCGTGACCGCAGAACCATTTAATAGGAAATCTCAATAAATAAGGATCAATTAGAAACACATGTCCATACCTCGAGGAGAAAGCGAGCACGGCGGTAATAACCTAAGCCTGCCCAAACTGAATTGACCTCCTGCGATCTCACCAAAAATTGCAAACGAAGCGTTACTTAATAATCCTCGTCATGTAAGGCACCTTGATGTGAAATACAGCCAGGATCAAGCTTACCAAGCAACTTTGTACGCTAGAATTTGGAATAAATGCTGAAGAACTCACCTCTTGAGTGGCTTGAGCAAGGGCATAAACAGTCGGCCAAGTCCTCATCCAGCGCTGATAGTAACTGATGACGGTTGCTACCCTTGTTTGCTGCAACATCATCTCTGAGACCCACACCGCATAGGCCCTCTCCCCTTCAGTCTCAGTCTGTAACACCAGGGTACTTCTTAACATATAATTCACAGGCTACAAAATAGATTTGAAGCGCTTTTAGCAGACGATTACTTGAACCTTCTCACTTGTGTGTTGGTAAGAGTATGGGAGCTCATAAGCCCCTACCACTGCGAGAAGAAATCGAAAATCTCGAGGCGCTTTCCAGTTTAATATTCTAGATTCAGAGTGCAGCAACCCGAGATAACTCTTCAAAATTTCAATTGCAGAGAAACACTATCCTGTTCTCTGTACATTATACTCAATGATATCTCTAAGCATTTAATATTCGTTCCATTGTATCAAATTTACATGCCAACAAATTATAATGACTTCTGTCGAGATTAGGAGTATTGATTTACCGCATTGTGCATAGAATCCCTACACAAGACTCCAGAGAGCGACGCATCGTTCATCACTCCAACTCCAGACTCTTCTTTGCAGATTTCACCAGCTCCATCAGCACTGTAAGAAGGATTTTCCAAACAAGAATACAAATTTATGCGCCACGGCAAGACACGGTGGTTACTGTCGTACCAAGAAAGCAGACTAGCCCGGATCGTCATCACCTCACTTTTCGCAAAGGAAAAATCAGCCAAAGTGCCATCTGAGGTACAGAGATCTTCCATATCAGTTGCAATTATCTCCTCCTTGTCAACCTGAGACGACTTCGTCTTTTTCTTTGTCCCAGTTCTGAACTTCTGCTGCAATCCCTTCCCAGGTTTCTCATTCGATTTAGCTTTATATACTTTCAAATTGGTCTCATCCTGGAATCCCTCAACCGTACGTATTGGATTCTTAGCATACATGGCTGCAGGTGAGAAAGCTGTCCTCTTACACGACGCCTCTGCTTCCATCGAGAGCCGGACGGACCGAGTTGTGGGAGCCATTGAAGGCACAACTCTGGAAAGTGGTCGATTAAACAGCACCATCAGCTTGCATGTCTACCACGTCCAGCCAGCTCATGACTCGGCATACAGCAAGCAACCCTGCGTTCAAGCACCGATCGTTTCAATTGACAAACTTGACGGTGCATTTCTACACAGCAGATTCAAAGATCTCTCGAAAACGGGCTTTCAAAACCTGTTCAAGATGATTGCTGGAAAAATTCGACCTAACTGATCTCCACAAGCTACCAAACTTACTTTGTTTGTGCGATGTGATTCGACATTTTGCAGAGGTCAATTTCTGTCCTCCGTAGCATTTGCAATCTCATGCCAATCACGCGTATCCCTCAAAATTGTAGAATGAATACACAGAAACGCCAGAATCATCACCCTGGAAAGCTTCTCAGCCCAGTGAAGGCAGTCCGCAAGAACAGCAACTTGGTGCTGACCTAGGTCATTGAGAGCCGCATTCAAGTGAGCCATCACGCGAACAATCCAGCAAGATATGAATGTAAGTAGAGCTGGGATTACGCATCATAGCGTGAGGTAGGGATCACCCCCTTTGCGTTGGCTGGATAGCAAGGAAGGACCCGCAATTAGAGCCACACCACCAGACCTAGAAGCATTTGTGATTCCCTGCGCAAAGCATCCTCGGTGGAGGATGAGGAGAAGAAGGGAGAAGGAGGAGGAAAAGAAGGAGACTGAGCTGAGGAGGAGGAGAAGGGAGGAGGGAGCAGGAAAAACTATTGCAAGCAAGCAAAGCCAAGAGGAGAGTGGAGAAGAGAAGAGAAACAAGGAGGGACACACCACAGACACACTCTCCCTCCTCGCAATTCAAATGCCGCAGAGCTAATTAATTAATGCTGGGAGAATGTTCCGCAAACCAAGATGGATGATGACGATGCTACATACCTACATGCCTCCCTCCTCCCCCTCGTCCTCCTCCACACCACCACTGCGTGGGAATAGAGAGGGCACGGTAATCCGACCCACGATAGTAGGGCCAACGTATACTTCGCTCGCCCTCCTCCTCTCCCTCTCCATGCCACCCGTAACCACTCTGCTAGTTAGTAAGTAAGTAAGTAAGCAATAGGCTTTTCTTACTCAGCCGTAGATTCTACACACGATGTAACACGAGATTTGATAATGAGATCAAATCTTCCTTCCTCGATATGTATACTTATTATAATAATAAGAAGGTCCTCTAAAAGCTTCTTAAGAATTACAATACTTATGAAGTGGTTTTATGATAGCTTTTCAGATTTTGTGAACTTCTAAAAGTAAATTCTGTAGATATGTAAAATATCTAAATGCACTGGTAGATCAAAACATCAATCAATTTTTATCACAAAAAATTTTAAGAGAATTTAATCTACCTCTTTTAAAATAATAATGATAGTAGTAATAATAATAATAATAACAATAACTCTTTACATTAGTATTACATGTTTTGTGATATTATTCCTTTTATAGAATACAAGTTCTTCAAAGTTAATGGGGTTCTAATTTGCTTCACAACCTGTAAAAATCTATTGCAGGTTGAATGATATTCCATTAGGAGATTTAAAATCGATACTTAAAAAAAATTAATCATTTTAAAATCAGATATTTGAAATATTATTAGGTCTAATTCCAACTTCTAATAATATTATCATGCATCAAGATTTTGGTTTTAGATTTTCATTCAAAACGTGAATTAATTTACTATTTGTGCAAGAAATTAAAAATATATATAATTTTTTGTTTTTAATTTTCTAAAAAAATTAATATAATACTAAAAAAATATATAAAATATTTTGAATAAGTAGAAGTGCATTAAAATACATTAGATAGATAATATAAAAACAACATACAACCTTATGCTTGGCCATAAGCTTTATTGCTCTTTGGAAATTTTTCCATAGCTTTTTTATTAGATAATATCTCCAAATACAAGATTGATATTTTATAGTATTACATGAATGTATTTTATTTTTATTTTTTATAATTTATTTAAATAATAAAATTATAAATTTTATTTGTATATCAACTATAGTATTTTATTTAGAAATTTGTAAATAAATATTCTTAAGTTAAATATATTTATTATTATTTGAATTACATTTGATATTTGATCCATTCAAATATTATCTACTAGATATGAATATATTTTTTATATTTTAATAATTTGAATTAAGATAAAAAAACATAATATTATTTAAGAATCTAATTGCATAATATAAAAAAATTATTTATTTATTAGATATATTTTTATTTTAAAATTTTGTTAAATAATATATTTATAATCTTTATAATTATGTCAACACAAATATTTTTGTAGATGTAATTTATTCTTATATTTATAAAATTATAAATTATATTACATTGATTTGCATATCTTCTATTTTTTATATAGATTTGAAGAAATCACAAAAATTATTAAAAAATTATAGAAGTATAGAAATATAATTACAGGTATTTTTAATTAATTTTTCTAAAATTTTATTTAAAGAAAAAAATGAATTTTTTATTTTTTATTTAAAAATATCTAAAAAATGAATTATAAATTTTGTACATTGTAATATGATTCAAAAGTTAATTGATTGATGAGTGCAATATCATTTCATGTAACAAATGCCTATATTATTTAAGTGAATAGAAGTAAATAAAAGTAAATAAAAGTAAGTCAAAGTAAGTAGAATATTTTAAGTAGATAGTATCTTATTTTTAAAAAATTAAAGAAGTTTTTGGATGTTGATTAAATCTTCATATCTTTATCAATACATCATGTGGCTATTAAAATTTGTCCCACAAGTTTCTCACTTTTTAATTGCAAAGTGGGAAGTAACTTACAATTTGATGATTGGACCATAAATCTAATGGATTTTAGGCTTCTTAGTAGTTAGAATATATGGAGACAAGAGTGAGGCCATTCTTAGTCTTATTAACATTTTTCTTATACTCTAGTCTTGGTTCAAGACTCTTAAGCTTCTTTGTATTAGACAATAGTTATTATAGTTATTTTATACCTTGTATCTATTTTTTTCTCCTTACTTTCTTCTCTCTTCAATGATACTTAAGTGTAATATCTTTTGAATTTTATCTAGATTTATATTTTTGACATCTCATATGATATCAATTGTTAGTTTTCAAAATTTTAAAGCATATATATATATATAATTTTATTATTTTAAAAATAATAATAAGTATTTTTTTAATTGCATCTAAGTTATTTTATAATAGATATATTATTTTTAAATGATTAGAATAAAGATACAATAATTTCACTAAATGATATCCTAAAAAGTTTAATGTTATGATAATATAGTATATTAACTTTGAATTTGGAACTCAATGACTTGTTGTACTTAATTAAAAAATCTCTATAACTTAAACATAGTATTATTAAGAATTAAATAAATAAAACTTTTGATTCTTTAAAAGTTGTAATTATATTTGTATGATTCTTTGCAAAAAGAATAAATTAAATTAGTATAACTATTTAAAAAAAAAACCTCTTTCTAAATTAAAATATATAATTAATAAATCTTAGAATTAGTTATTATAGTAAATACAATTGTTTCATTATAACTATTAATTAATATTATTTTTTAAGATTCATATTGTAACACCTTTATTTTTAAAATTTTAATATTAATATAAATTTTTTAATATATTAAGAATTTTTACACATACAATGAAAGTATAAAAAGATTATTATTATTTTTTAAAATTTATAGATATTATGAGGTAAATAACTTACAATCTTTTTAAAAGTAAACATTTCATTCATTATTTTATAAAATATTATCGAATTTTGATATTAAATCTAAAAATATTTTTTTAATAAAACATTAAAACTATATCTTTTTTACAACTATATTAAAAATTGAATAATGTATAGATGGAAAATATTTTTTTATAAAAATAGAAATAAAAATAAACCTTTCATAAGAATAAAAATATAATATAACAGAAGTAATGGTAAGACTAAACATGATTTTAATTTTTTTTTTTACATGTATCAACTAAAAGAAAGTTACATAAAAGCATTTAAAAAACCACAAGACTTGCAAGACATCATCTAAATTTTGGAAGGCTTCTATAATAGCTTATCAAATAAAAGACACTACTTAGTAATGTTCCAATTGTTACAAAGCATATTTAAAGATACTTGGAAATCTAATTTACACAAAAAAAATTCTTCAACTAAATTATGTTCTAAATAATTCTATTTATATTTATTTATTCCTATATTATTGGCATATAATTTTATTAAATTTTTTATCTTATACAGAATTTAATAGTAATAAAATCTATAATATAATTATTTTATTTTACACCTTGATTTGAAAAAATAAGTATAATGATAATTTGAAGAAAGCATGGGAAGCGGAGCGAAGGGAACGGGGAAGGGAAGCCTGATGCCACGAGAGGGGGGGGGCACCCCCGCCCTCCATCCTCATCGCCGTGCCCGCCTGCCTGGCCTCGTTCCCATTCACGTTCCCATCCTCGATCCCTTTGTAATTCCTGCCCGTGACAAAGGAGAGCGAGCTCCTGCTCTGCCCTGCTTGTCTTGCCTGGTGTTTTATTGTGTTGGATTGGGTTATCACTGGCATGGTGATCATAGCTAGCATCACCATGCACATGATACATTCAGTGTCTTGTATTCATAGGAAAAGAGACAGACAGCATAACAAATCATTGCATCACCCAACAGCTCGCCCACAACTTTACACTAGTCATGGGTGAACTATAAATTCTAAATACATAAATTTCAAAGCGTGTACAGGTATTAATAAGATTATGCAAAACCATGGCATAATTTTTAATCGTATCATTATATTGTTTAATTTTTTAAATTAATTTTTGTTTCCTTTGCAATAATGAGCCTTCATGTATCTTTCAGTAATTATTATATCCTTTAATATATAACATACCACACTTCTGGAGTAATCCTTCATCTTTTCTTAAATAAGTCCAGTTTGAGAAGCGTTTTCATCATGGAATGACTCTCATTGTGAGGATACTGCCGAAACAATCTGGGCGAACAGCCCGAACTTGAAATATGGCACGTTGGCGGGGTTGCACACCTACAGTTGCGTAAGAGTTCCGAGAAGACTGAGGTTCCACTCTAGGCATTCTCCGGACCACGATAATCGCCCGCTAGTCTGATTGAGCATGCAAAATGTCGCCTTACTTGCCTTACAACCCACAAATCAGACTCGCACGTGTAACTTTGTAAAGCCTGGATGAAGACTCACCTGGTCTCATGTATGCCCTTCTTTGAGTTAGAATGCATCTAACAATTCTGGAGCAAGGGGTCGCAGTGGGAAGGCAACGTTGGAATGTATATGCCTACAATTGTATGGGTCTACGCCTGAATTACCGGTCCCAGTTGTACAAGACTCATTCAAGCAGGGTGACATGGCGTGGCGGACAGAGAGTACGTTCAAGTCCAAGTTCCCATGTTCCAAACAAACTTAGCATGAAACGAAAGAGTCTTGGATGTACAGCCCCTCCGTTATTGTGATTTATGCACAATGCCAGTGTCGCTCGCTCTAACTTCTCAGATCCTTCCATCTATCTATATTTATATATATATATATATATTCACCGAATTTGTGTACAGAGTTTGCATTCGTCGGAAGCTCACATTGGTGTGTTGTAACTGGAAGGCGAAGAAGCATAAATGTTGCATGCAATCCGACGAAGTGTAGAAATGAATCCTTTCAAATCTCGTCATTTTCTTCGGTTCGCGGCCAGCTTGGAAATGCTATTCCTGTCACCAGAAAAGCCTGATTGCCAGCATGATGACGCGTAAAACTCAGGTGTTGGCACCATCCTCAATTTATCCAAATCGTGGGGACAGCGAGATTCCGCGCGTCCGAAACGAGCACTTCGTTGCAGATAGATACATTGTGAGCGAACAAGCAGAATTGGGTTCGACAGAGGTAGATGTGGTGGAGATACATGTGAGGGCGTGGGCTGGAGGTGTGTGAGCAGGATTTTGGGATGTCGGATGGTTTAGCTGGAGTTCTCGTCCACACTGTTTGAGGCTTATTTATTTGTTTTCATTTTTTTGGTACGGATTTGGTGAGACAGGATGTTTAGGAGATTCCTTGGTATTGCTTGCAGTTGCGGGCACAGCGAGTGTGATGCTACACATGGATTATCTGCCGGGGCGGTAAAGAAGACAATATCAGGGCATTTGGGCGGAGAAACTACAGCTAGGGCTTGGCTTGCGTGACAGGTTGCTAACAAAGCAGGAATTCATGGATACGCCTGGTAAAGGACCTCTCCAAGCTGGTACCTCCCCTTCAGGAAAACAGCGCTCCAATTTTAAAGGCTGCTGCATCTTCTTCGTCCTTGTGGCTGCTGTAATCCTCGTTGCAGCTGCTGTTCTCATCCCAACGGTATTGATTCCGAGGCTGCGCGACAAGGATAAACCTGCCGGACATATCAGCAAAGCGCTAGATCGCATTGCATTAGCTTGTAATATAACGAGGTTTCCTGATACATGCAAGAGCACTATCGTAGGCACTACCGCCGCTGAGTCTGACTCGATCTGGATCCCCAACTTGGCTGTGGCGGCTGCTACAGATGCCGTTACTAGCATTCTTTCGCGATGCCGCGCCTACAACCTAGATCCCGAAGTTATATTTAACGCGACTTACGGGAGCATTGTGGATGACTGTCTCGAGATTCTGCAATATGGCCTTCAGTACTTAACGAGTTCGTCTGAGACACTCTCCAAGTTTCCGGGCCCAGAACAGAACCGTGAGCCGCCGATTAACGAGCTCAGAACATGGGTTAGTGGAGCACTCACTGTCACCGGAGCCTGCTCCGACACACTGTCACGAATCCAGACCGTCAAGAGCGCACCTTTGCGACAGCAGGCGAACCAGACCTTCCAGGTTGTCAGCAACGCACTTGCAATTGTCAACTCATTCGCAGTATACGGTGATGATTTGGAGAAGTGGCAACCAGCTTATTTCTTAGGTAATTCCCGTGGGCCTCTGTCAAAATCTGCACGGCGTATGTTGCTCTCTACTGAAGATTCGCCACAGTTCAAGCTTCGCAGGAGCAATCCTCTGTCGATTTCAGGTGGATCGTGTGAAAGTTCTCCGAATCATAACTCCTGTTCATCTACGACTGGTTCCTCCTTGAATGTTGCTGGTTCTCTTCCCAACTGGTTGAGATCACAGGATAGGAGACTATTGCTCGAGGAATCCTTTCCCATTGCAAACATTACAGTTGCCCAGGACGGTTCAGGCAATTACACGACCATTCAGGAGGCAGTGGATGCTGCACCAATCAACAGCAGCATACGATTTGTAATCCACATCAAATCGGGCGTGTATGACGAGGTGGTGAGGGTCCCCTTTCTAACGAAGAATGTCATGTTCCTGGGAGATGGCATCAATCAAACCATTATCACAGGAAACCGAAGCGTGCAGAATCCGAGCATAACCACCTTCAAGTCTGCCACTGTCGGTAGGGCGTGACTATTCACCTTCAATACTTCAACCACTTCCTTTATTTTCCATATCTTGAAATTTTGTTCACCACCATGGAAAACATGCAGACGTGCGAGCTGTCTGGCTATGGCGTTTGTCGGTGCGCTTTACACAATAATATTGTGATAAAGAGCTTCAAGACACGGTCAAAGCACTGGTGGGAGGTCGAAAGTTGTGGCTCAAAGGACTGGGTTCTGACAACGGACAACCTTGCACGAGCATACGTTGCACTACATAATGTCGCTGCGATTTTCGTGTTTTATTTTTTTGACAGCCTGTTTTGAGTGGGTTACTCGCTGGCATCGTAGCTGATAATCATAGCGAGGCCCAGCATGCCGCATGAACACCTAGAGAGTAAGGCGTTTTTCGTCGAACTGGTGGCCTATCTGGTCATTTTGACAGATGCATGATTCATGGCAGCTGCAATTTAGTTGGATTTGCTTAAACGGGGACCTGGCTGTGAGGGTGTGCAGGTGTGGCCGGAGAAGGCTTCATGGCCAGGGGCCTTACGATCCTGAACACGGCCGGCGCCGTAGCTCAACAAGCCGTAGCGCTCCGAGTCTCGGCAGACAAGAGCGCGTTGTGGCAATGCTCACTGCACGGGTTCCAAGACACTCTCTGGGCACATGCATTTCGTCAGTTCTACAAAGACTGCACTATCTCCGGCACCGTTGATTTCGTCTTCGGAAATGCCGCAGCAGTGCTGCAGAGCTGCACCCTTCTAGCGAGAGTCAACCTCCCTGGCAAACAGAATGTGTTTACTGCGCAAGGGAGGACCGATCCTGGGCAATGGACGGGGTTCTCCATCCAGGACTGCACGCTCGACGGAACGCCGGACCTGCTCCAACTGAATTCTTCGTCACAACAACTCACTTACCTGGGGCGGCCCTGGAAGCAATATTCTCTGACTGTGATCATGAAGTCCTACATGTCAGCCATCATTGACAGCGCTGGCTGGCTTCCATACTCTGGTATATTTCTATTGGCTTACCAACCTCACTCCTGGTCGCATTCTGGAATTACGTGCCTAGTACATGCACAGCCAACTCCTTTTAGAAACTGCGGCTGACAGTGTTGAATTGTTGTTTTCAGGTGACTTCGCTTTTACTACGCTGTTCTACGGGGAATATGGTAACACTGGACCTGGAGCCAAAACTGAAGCAAGAGTAAACTGGTCGACAGCAATCACAGATCCCGCAGTTGTCACCAAGTTTCAAGTTGGGCAGTTTCTTCATTCCGCAACTTGGTTGCCCTCCACTGGCATTCCTTATACAGATTCTTAGTAGCACCCTCAGTGGATGTTACCCCTGAGTTCACTGTAGAAACCATTATATTAGGCTATTTATCTGGAGTCGCCCCTTCTGTAGATTAGTACAAAAATGTATGTAGAAGATTTGGACTTGCGTGTGCGTGCAAAGAATCCATGTGGGTTGCCCGAGGTGCGTTATTTTTCTTGATAAGTTGAGAAAATAAATTAGAACACAGACACTTCGTTCACTTGTAGATTATGTCACCTTTTGCCTCCAACATGATTGCTGGCGATCCATTGCAGGGGTACCCTGGCATGTATTTATACTGAAATTCCTGATATCATTTTCTTGGGTACGACATTGCTTAGAGGGCAGTGCCGGGCTGAACGCTCAGTTGCCTGCATATTTGTCAGCTGGTGTTCAATTGTGTGACGTCCTGTGATCATACTTCGCTCACTCGACGATTTTCAATCTAGTACTTGTGGTTAGCATCACTAAAACCTAAATTAAGTATCCTTGTCCACATCTGTCCCAAAGTTGCACAACGTTTTAGTCAATGTCCCGAAGAAATCAACCAGGGAGATAACGAGGAATAAACCTTCTGCTGCAACATCAGGTAACAGTTAGTAGCACAGAGTAAAACACATGATATCATGCTGCCTAACCTGTCTTGGCTTGCTTGCACTTCAACATCATGCTATCAATGTCCAAATTCCAAAATACGTTGAATACAATTCCGGCAAAAACAGCCTCACAACCTGCATCACCTCCACAAATTGTTCAACTTTCAACGAAAATTTGTGGAGCTCATGCATTCACTTTAAGGTCCTCTACACAGGGTACACAATGAACAATGACTGCCCCGGAAACACCAAAAATTGTTTGGCGCCTAGAACTTCTGTGAGACGCATGAGACTGATCAAAACTGCGTCATGTTGCAAAACTGCTTCTTGTATATTTCACAGTCGACTTTGAAAGAGACAAAATGACTCCAATAAGATCAAGTACCACGGCTTAAATCAGGCGTCAGCAGTCCGCTATTCTACATTGTCAAGACCCGCCACAACAGATTGAATGCACTATATCTGTACCTGGCGCATTACCTCAAGGGTAACTTGTAGAGAGCATTGCTGAGTAACATCGACTTAAACGCGCTGCGTCGTGATGCTGCAATGGATGGAGCGGTCATTTAGCAGCTGATTGTTCCTTTCCCACGGAGGTTTCTAACAGACCTGAACTCGTACTGGCTCCGACCCATTACAGTGTTCGAAAAAACTAAAGCCAGCTTGTGCTGTTGGAAGCATTTGAGGGAAAGGATCAAGCTTTGTAATAATTTTGAATAAAGACCGTCAGTTTAATATTTAATTGCAGCGAGGAAGATAGGACGAGTAAATCTGCAAGTAATCTTCGGTATTTAATGAACGTAATCAGTGCATGTCGTGACAGGTGGAACATGTAGTGCTATCAAAGTTCGGTAAAACTGGAATCGATCACCGGGACTAAGAGTTACAATTTTGTTACTAGACAACCTCATCAACCAAAGCTATTCTTAATTTTTGAATTTCTAGATTGCCAAACTTTTCAAATTCTTAACTTGGTGAGCTTCTATTGCTATTTAAATACATAAAAACATGTTTTACTCTACATGCATATTAAAAAATTAAGTTATTTTTTTATTAAGGTATGAGTCATCTGCCTCTATTCATACATTATATTAGTTTTGTGTATAGTTTTATATCGTTAACAATGTTGGTTTAATCTTGAATATATAATTGAGTAATATCCTAAAATGAATGCAACGAAAAATAAAAGAGCTTGGAAAATGATACTATGATTTTAGTCCATGTTATATTCAAATATATTAAAAAATAAAATAAAATAAACTACCTCCAAAGATACAGTGATAGCAGGGCAGTTGTGGTAGGATTTTTTTAGTTATATTTTCTACAATACAAGAAAAGAAAAATGAAGGATGAAAACTTGTAATAAGAATAAATATCCAAGACATAAGTATCAAAAAGATTTGGTATAAACAAGAGACAAATTAATACTATTTATTTCACTCTACTAAATACCATTCAAGCCTTCTATCTTAACTTATTTTAATTCTAATTAAAAAAATTGATAGAAAAATATTTAAAATTTGACTCAAATCTTTAAAAAGTAGTCTCTATAGAAAGAATAAATAATAATAAAAAAAAAACAAAAAACAAAACAAAAAAAACAAAAAAAAAAATATAGTTTAGCAAAACTTTGACAATACACAACATTCTTAGATGATAAAGAAGTTTGAAATAGAAATTTTGGATGTTGTTTGTTTGGTATGGATGGTTTTGTCTGGTGTAGTCATGATATATTTTTTTTCTTAAAAGTGGTAGTGTTTTTTAGTGGTGATGCATTTCTTTCTTTCTATGTGATGTTTGGCTGCCATTGTGGGAAGGATTGACCAATATTGTTGTTTATAATTATATTTAGTACTCAACCAAGCCCACAATGCAAGGCAAGGCAAGGCAAATTAATAAGTGTGGTATTGTGTCTCCATGGTGATGCTTGCCCTTTGTTATTCTTACTATTGAGTTGAATCTAGTTGTGCATGTTCTTAAATCTTTCATGCTGATTCATTCTCAATCAAATGAAAGGAAGTCTAGGAATTACAATTATCATTGTGAACAAAATTTTCTCACACAATGAAATAGTAAAACTAGTTTTGAGATTTTCCAGAATTTCAGCTTCTTTGTATTCATGATTAACAATATAATACACAATACAACATCTTGGCATCTCTTAAAGAGTCAATTGCTGCATGCAATGGCTTGAGTAATAAATTATTCTGATGAGTCTACTCTTTGTATTGTCAACAATTAATCTTTGATATTATCTTTTAAGCCATATCAAAATCAATTGATAAGAGTTTTGTTATTTCAATCCACATTGCAAGCAAGGTTTTGGAATTTAGCAATACATATGGTGGTTGAATATGATCCTTGTTGTAAAGATAGGACTTTGGTCTTTGCTACCCTTTCTTGATCACTTTTTTCAAATGTAGCCATAAAGACTTCTAAGAATTCATTCAAATCATAAAAGAATTGTGTTTTTTTTTTTTTTTTTTTTTTTTTTAATAAAAATAAAAATGCAAACCAAGAGAAATCACTTCCAAATAGAAGTGTATTTATGAATCCAACTTGAATAAATTTGTCTAGGTATTAGGAAGGATGCAACCTTAGATACAACTTCACTTATTGTAGAAATCCTCAAAACTTTGATCTTGTTTTGTCAAACTTCTCCGACCTACTTACCATTGCTTCCTTCATATTTATAGAACCAAGGCTTCTTATATTTAATTGTGAACTTGATCTACTTTCTTCTTTCAATTGCACAATTTTCTAATGTAGAGTCTGAGCTTTATTGTTGTCTTCTTTCACAAGCACAAGAATAATACCTTCATGGTTTACATTAAAAATATGTGAGATTTTAATCCTAAGAGTGTTGATAAACTCATAAAGATCTATAATAGTTGCAAACCTATTATTGTTTTTTTTTAAGAGTAACGTCCATAATTTTTCCTTCCATAGACAACTCAAATAAACTCATAAGTCAATTTAGAGGAAGATAATTGATAATTTCTAATACCAAATAAAAATTTCTACAAAGAGGGATAGTTTACTCTTTTTAAGGAAAAAATCAATGTTAAAAAACTAAACTATTAGTTTAAAAGTAGATAGTCTACAACATTCAAAATACAACAATAGAAATGGAGTAATCTACTTACTTCTAAAAACAAAACAAAAAAAAATTAATTAGTTCTCTTGTCAAATTTTCCAAGTCATGAATCTCAAAGAATCAAAAAATCAATATACTTAGGTGTTAAAAAGATTATATAATCATTTAAAGATGATATAATATTAAACTAGAATGGATATTGCTAAAGATAAAGGACTAGAAAGTCTTAAAACAAGACTAAAAACTAGAAAGACATTGATAAGAATAAAAAAGACTTCTCTCTTGCCTCCATATATACTATTTAATTAAAAACTATATGGCAATGTTCTACAAGACCTCCAACACATGTTTAAATTGCAAGACACATGTCTTAACTTATAAGGCAAATTTTTAATATGTGCACCACATAATTAGATTGTACCACAAGCTACCAACATGTACAAGATGTAGCTAACTTATTAACTAAGTTTCTAATCTATCAATCAACTACAAATATATATAAAGTCAAAGCCGCATGTATAAAGCATCTCTATAAGATATTATCAAATATACCTACTTTATTGTACTTCTTCTTATTCATATTATTTAGGTAATTATTAGAGTAAATATATATATGTCTATGATAGTAGATGCCAAGTATATCATCTATTGACTCATGAGAGACAACCTTGAGCTTGACTCGAATTGCATTTGCATAAGTATTAGAATCCATTGAGATGCTAAAATCTTAATCCTAACTCTTGCTCATGATCACTATTTATATCCTACTTTCAAGGTAAAAATGAAGAAATGTTCTTAAGCAACAATTGCAACACATGTTAGAAAACAAATAAAAAAGTTGTTCATATACTATTCTATGGTTGGCACTCATTAATCTTGCAATATTAGGTTATGTAAGACAACTCAATTGCCTCATAGCACCTCTCTTCTTCATTTAAAAATATGGAGCTCCATCTTGCTCTGTTCCCTTGATAATATTTTGATGCCCATGTTAGAAGGCCAAACTTAGATAAGGTTTTATTCATATTTTATACTTTCAGCATCATTATTATGCTCATGATACCAATCTTTGAAGTACTTGCTTGCAATGTTACCAACATTTCACTCACAAAAGGAACTAGCACGAGGTACTTCATGTCCATGATACCAATCTTTGAAGTACTTGCTTGCAATGTTACCAACATTTCACTCACAAAAGGAACTAGCACGAGGTACTTCATGTCCTGAAAGCAACTTCAGCAATATCTTGTAAGTAAAAAATATGTTTAACACATATGTTGTATGCATGTCCATGTTTGTATTTTACTTAAACCACCTGAAGTTCTTGGATTAGAATGTCTTTTTTTAATTACCTTGTTCCCCCAGGTTTTTGTGACCTGCTATGTAACTTGCATCATTTCATGAGTAACCTCTTGAAATTTACAAAAACATGTCTTGCAATCTATACTGGCATTCATACCTATATATTATAAATTATTCTTTAAAAAAATTACATATCACCATCATATATCATATATACTTTTACAACAAATTGTATAAAAAGATTGGAACTTTCTGATTCAGGAAATTAATAATTAATTCATGATCCAGACCTAACATTGGCTACACAGCTTGCATTGGAGCCATTGAAGCAGTTGAGACTGCTGAATTTCTTCTGCACCGATAGTCTCATCAAAAAAATAAAAAATAAAAAATAAAATTGTGCAGTGTGTATAAACCACAATGAATGTAAGCATTGAAGTAAATTACTACAATCAATCAAAGTCAGTTGAATACTGGGCACAGATTTTCCCTTGCCTGAAGCCCAAGAATATTGCAAAACATCATGTAGGACCTAGATAGGCATGCTAACTACCTCCAAATTCATCAGTTAGTCAGGCCCTAACACCAGACATCATAAATCCTAACATGCAACAAGTGATACTGTCAGGACGGCACCATTTTTTTTTTTTTTTTTTTTTTTTTTTTCAATTCATACATTGCATCATTCAGTATACCTTCTGGACAACCTAGAATATATGTTATTATCAAGAGAGCACGCCGATCTATGTATGATTATTGTAATGTCATTTGTGTGCATAACGAGCTCCTGGTCTGCCAGATCAACTCACTTATGCGATTTCGTTTACACGCTTTCTTAATGGCCGCAGTAAGTATTTCCAGACGCTATAGTCGTAACTGCAATTGTTTACCATTATTGGCTGCTCTGCCTTTCTTGTCTTTCAAGTACATCCCTTAGGCTCAGCGTTTTGATGGATTTGCCATCAATCTCAAAGCCATGTGAGGGATTAATCTTAGCATTGAGAGGGCGAACTGGGCCCACAGCAAGGGATGTTTTAATGACGGGCAGATTTCCACTCACACCAGCGGTGTGGTTGTCGTCAGAATTCTTTCGGCGCAGCAAACTCAGCACCGTCACGAAAACGCCCCTGCGCTGGTGAGTAGTCGACTGCTTGGTTGTTTCTGAATGGGCATTGGGCAATCTTCTTTGATGAGACTTCATTTTCCTTGTGGCCAACTCCCTCAAGATCTTTGCTCGAGTATCCGCTTCCCGCATGGCGTTTGCTCCACGTAATTGATGTTTTAGGACATCTGGGTAGCACGACATATCACACATATTAATGCATGAAAGTTGATTTTTGAGCTCACAAGACCTTACCGGGCATGTTTTAAGAAGCTTACTTTCAAGATATATCAATCACAGTGCAGTTACAAGGTATTTGAAGAGTTTGTTAATTGGGCTGTTACAGACGAAACCACATGCATGCACGGAGCGCAGCGTCGTGGACAATGAGTATTGCCCAGTCATGTAAGCTATAGAAGTGACAAGTTTGAACAACCTCAGATACGAACCACTACGGCTCCATCGCCCATGTAGTTTTTTAAAAATACAAATTTAAAATAATACGTTCATTATCTCTCAGAATAATCGAAAACAATCACTACACTCAAGTTGAATGATAGCTCTAATGTAGGCTGTGAACAAGTTCTCCGAAGACGTTACGAAGCTTTGAAGCGAATATCACACATTGTATCTCTCACAAATACCATTAGCAGAGATTTTTCGGTGTCTAGGAATGTTTAGCTCACATTCAGAAACATAATGGTCGTTGTTGCAAAGAACTGCTTGAAAACATCGCACTCTAGGACATGTGTCATGACTTGGCGAGATCCCCACTTTTAACGCTCCCTAATTTGGCCTGTCTTTCCATACATTGTCAATTGTTAGTAGGTGGGCATGTTCCAAACAACCTTATACTTGGTTACCGGTTTGAATGGTCGTGAGATAATTACAACGGGATCAGTGTTGGCATATGTTATAAATTAGTATACAAATCTACTCTAAAGCTTTTGGAAGAAGTATGCGCCCAGATCGTTCTAGTCTGAAATTCAGAATGTGGGAAATGATCTCTGTTTCGAACAAGGTAGAACGAGGTGAAGCCGCAAGCCCGCATATTTTGAATGGATTTTCACCACTCTACATTATGCTGCTTTCGACTCACTCAAGCAATGATCGAGGTGAAAGGACGAAATTTCTCGGTCTAAATATGAGTGAAGAGTTATATCTCAGGATCGAGGAGATCGTTGACTGAAGGAAACGAAGGACGGAATAAGTGAAGTGAGCAATAAACACAACAATTCGCAGACGATGTTTTTTTCCACTGATGCTAAATAGTGTCTATGTCACGGTAACTTCTCTTCCTGAGCTCAGATCATTTTAGGCTGAAGGACTCACATCAACAAACTCGTCACCTCGTGAAATGCGACCTGCGTAGTACGACTGAACTAAGGCAAAAGCCGAAATCGCCAAGTAACGACCCACGTCTAGGAGCTCATAGCGTACAGACAATCAGAGAGCTAATTGGCAAGGCCTCTGTAAAGACTGGAGCATTTTTCTCAATAAGAAACCAAACCATACTCATACAGGTAAACAAAAGCTAGGAGAAGATTTAAACTCACTTGAGTTGCAAGGAGGTGCAGACGACCCCACGTCAGTTGATCCCCCACATGCAGCATGGCTACTGCAGCTTAGGCTTTTCTTTGCAGCAAGACAAGAAAAATTAACACCCGGCGTCGTCGCTCTCAAGGGCATGGGCTGCATGTCCTGGATTTCAAATAAATCTGAGCTGTTTTCATCCAACTCATGTGTGTTCCATTGCCGATTCAACTGGCTGTTGGGTGATGTTTCCAGATGAGAGTCGGAGCTGCTGGTAAGCACTCCATTTGCGTTGGTCGCGTGCTTTTTGGCAAGAGCTGCAGTGTTTGCCCGTTCCAACGAGAACAGCTTCAGCCTCTTGTCAAAGACGTGTCGCGTCGTCCGCCCACTGGCACCGAGGACTGGAAATGGAGATCCGAATGCTCCTTTCGACAGTGCATTGCCACCACGAGGGCTTTCAGCTCGATTCCTCGGCCCCTCCAATTCTTCCTCAGCCTCGTAGTCCGGCTGATGTAGGAATCGCCTCAGTCCCATCTCCTCCTCTAATTTAGCCGATTTCATTTCCTCAATAATGTGCCCTGAGCCAAGTTCTTCCAGATCTTTTGCAGATGGAGAGGTAGGAAATGAAAAAAATGCATCCAGATCAGAATCAACTCGATCTAATTGCTCTGATGGTTCGACCATCACAGGATGCTCAAAAGTACTGCAGAAATTAGAAGGTCCTGCCTGCTCTTGCCGCTTGGGTATGCTCACTCTCAGGCCGTGGGTCGGAGTCAACATGGGCACAGTAAAAAGTTGCTCCCTTACGTCATCCTCAATGCCTTCAAGTGAAACTTGAATTACTGAGCTAGAGCATGTCTCGCTCTTCGCACTTTGACTGGGGGTCGCAATAGAAACGGGTATGGCGAGATCCTCCCTTGATCCACAGCAACCAATACAAGCATGTCCAACTTCGGAGCAGGTCTCGCTGTCAGAATATCTGCCGCTCGCCCTCGAAACACAACATCCCACGCACACATGTCCGGCATCGGAACATGTCCGATCACTGCCCGAAAATCGGCCAACATTATAGATCAATTGCCGATGGTAGTCAGGCTCATTAGTAAGGTGCAACTTTGACAAAATCTCCTGGGGGGTTTCATGCCGGATCTTGAACTCTAGAAGCTCATGCAACGGGGGCGCAGCAGTTTCACTACCTTCAGTGAACTTATTTCGAGCAGGAGTATTGTGGCTTCTGGGTAAACAAGCTGACTGCCTAGCAGCATTCACCACTGAGGCCCACCGGCCTGTTGCTGGAAAACACGATTCAAAAAAAGACCTGGCCTCTACTTTCTGCATCCGAGCTTTATAGAGCGCCCCTAAATCTATGTCCTCATGAGCAGATGATGAAAATTCGGACAAACTCAAATCTTCACCCTGTGCACTGGAGGAATCATGTTCAGTCAGTATCATAATCTCGTCATCTTCAGAAAAATCTAATTGAACCCCTTCAACGTTCTCTAGCTCTGATTCTTCTTCGATGTCACCATTGCCGTAATCATTGTCGTCATGTAGTTCACCTTCGTCGTCATCTTGATCAACAATGATTATTTCGTTTGCAACTTCAATCTCAATCGACTTCATGTCTGGCGTCTGAATCTTAATCTTCGGTGCATAGACTTCCACAGTTTTCGATTGGTCCCGTTCTTGTAAGAGCAAGAATGTGTTCCTAGCCGACGCTTTGGCAGCGGAGATAGCATATGATCTTGCAAGAGCATCCATGCCTTCCGTCTCCAAGTTCCTTACGAATGGTGTCCCCACAAAAGACGCAAATGTGATGTCTCCAGGTGAATGCTTCATGTGAAGATTGTGGATTCCGCCCAGGAGACCTTCTAAGCGAGCTGTGAAGAGGTCTGGATTTCCACCATTTCGTCTTCGTCTCTTGTAAAATAGGGTCGCGAGTTTTCCCTTATCCCCTGTGTCTGCTGACCATCGTGGCGATTCGTAGATCAACGACTTAGAGTTGCTGGTGCTTAGCCCCGAACAATCTGTGTAATTTTCAGTGCTGGTTCCAAGCCATCCTGCTTTGGAATAGCAAACCCCCATCCTCTCTCTGTTTTTCAAGTTTGATTCTTAATTTCCAACACAAATCCGCAAGCTCCTCACCCCTTGGATCGCAGCACATGCTCTTGAATCGATGAAAGAAAGATGTGCACCCTTATCATGTCCAACCAGGTAGCAGTAGTTGGGAAAAATTTGAAGACAATAACGTCAATTACTCAGTTATAGTCTCGGAGACTGAAGTTCGAAGATGGGTAATGTCAGTCTGTATCCTGGACGGTTTCGGACAGTGTGCGTCCATAATTGATCGTCTCAAAACTTTCCCAGTCACCCTTGTGTTGCTAAGGGAAACCCGGCTAACATGTGGAAGAGCCGGGAGAAAGATGAGAGAAAGGGAGAGAAAGGAAAAAATTGAGGAATACGTACTCAGATAGAAGAGCCTAACAATCTCTATCCATGATATCATCTTCAAGGGTATGATTGCATCAAATGATTTTGCCACCTGCTGAAATTGTCATAGTAACTCTCTCGATTTCGGCAGCAAGCTCAAAATCCTCTACAGCGAGCTCAAGGTACATTCTTGTCTTGGTAGTAACTCAATGGTCTCGATGCCAAATTGAAACTTGCCATAGCCATATTCTCGGCTTTCGAGGCTCCACATTGCAAAAGGCAGGACACTTCTAGGAACCGGAAATTCCCGAAGTAAGTAGTTGTATTGTTTCCATTATTCGCACAGATAACTGCCATGGAACGAATCAGCAATTTCAGGATCAACAATCGTCAAGACCGCAAAATGTACCTACATCCGCTGCAGCTTGATAGGAGGGTCTGCAACGAGCCATGAAACCACGAACATATTTACTAGAAATGTTGGCATCACTGCAGAGAAACTAAATGAGAAGTGCCCGAAATTTACAGAAGGGGGATAAAAGGAGTGTTTCGTAACACAAACTCAACCCTAGCCGAGATATATTGGAAAGATTGAAATATTCCTTCAAAAACAAGTATCAAACATCACTGCCTGAGTTACCTGGAAGGTAACAAGCGGTCTCAGAGGACTCCTGATCTTCGTCCTAGAGTCTTCACATTGATGCATTTTGGACTAGTCCAGTTCTCCCTTGCAGTTTTGGTACAAAAACCATCCAGGGCTGAAGATGACCGTGTCAATTTTCGGGGACCATTGGCTAATGAAACATCCTCATTCCCATAATATGATTAGCTCAAATATGAAGTGGAAACGACTGACATTGGAGTTGCTCATGACGGATAAAACATCCCCTATTTGAGGAGCGACTTGAAGGTTCCGTATAGAGGACCTCCAAGAAGTTCGAAGCTGTCCACTCTCTGCAGTTAAGAGAGAAAAAACCAAGAAAATTAATTCGAGGGCAAGTTATTATCACCCCGAGTAATCTCTACGCACCCTCTTCTTTTTCTTTGGAAGGTCGGTGGTGTCCATTGCCGTCCTTTGCCCTCCAGGAAAGACATGAATGAATAACAAATTAGAAATAAGATGCCTGAATGTATAGATGTTCGAATATCCTGGTGCTCAGCCTGTACTTCCAAACAGCTGGCTCCTCGACTTCCTCAACAATGCCGACACTCTGCAGATTAGAAAAGAACGAATGAGACACTAGCTTTCTCCCACACAGATCATCGACAGACCTCAACTACCGAGCTCGCACTAGCACCCTTGCACCACGTAACCATGAAGCGGTGATCATGGAAGTAACTAGACCTTAAAAAAGAACAAATTAAGAGGCGATCGTCAAGCGTGCGCACTCGACGACTGCCATGGGCCAAAAGCAATATCCACTCTGTGCGAAACACACACAGTGGAACTGGACCGGAGGCAGGCAGAACACACGCAGATGGGAATAATTCCGGAAGTAGAACTCAGGGAGAGCACAGAAGAAGCAGAGAAGAGAAGAGAAGGGCGGGAGAGCAGATCATAGACGGCAGGTGAGGGAGAGGGGAATGGGGATGTGGGGTTCGGGGGGGGGGGGGGGGGGGAGTGTGTGTGAACCAATAAGTGGAAAGAACTGCAAAGCAAGCGGCTTGATAATGGGTGCAAGTGCCGAGGGGAGAGGCCTTGGCTGTTCTTGTCCCCGCCCCCGTTCTCTCTCTCTCTCTTCCCTTCCCCATCGCACCCGCCCCCTACCTCCCTCCCTGCCCGCCCCCCTGCCTGCCATTATACAGCCTGCCACCGGCCTTGCTTTTTCGTCCTTCCCTTGCTCGTCTTCTTCTTGTTCTTCTGCCTGCTGCTCCTCCTGCTTCTTCTTTCTTCTACTCTTTTCCAGGTACTAGCCCCCTCCACTGCCTGCCTGCCTAGCCCCTTCCTTCCTAACTACTCTCCTGACGCCCTTGAATGAAACCTTGACACACCTCTCCTCTTCCTTATCTTTTTCACACTCTGGAGCAATAACCCATTTCTTCTGCACCCCCTGACATGCATCCCCCTCAGCTTTTTTGCCTATCAGATGCATCACTTGCATGGTCATGTATTCATCCATGATCATGCTTACCAGGACATCACATGCTTTTACCTTAAACAGGTGCAAATCACTAAAATTACAATTATTTGTTCTCCCAAAATCCTTAACAGCACACTTTGAAAAGTATGTGTTGAGATTTTTTTCCTCATTATCAGATGCATCTTTTTTCCTCTCATGTTTCTTGCCACTTCTACTTTTATTCATGATCAATACCAACTAACTTAAAATGATACCATGGCTTCCAATCCATGTTCACTCCAGTGTAGTTACCATGTGGCTGTGTAGCTTCTCCTTTTGTGAAATAGTTACAAAAGGCTCCTCACACAAGACAATGAATTTTGAGTATGTTAAAAGACCATTCATCCATTGAAGATGAAGGAATCTTTGGATGCATGTTGAAATTCTCATGGCTGAACAGAAGAAAAATCACATCACCAGACAGATGAGTTTCTTGGTTGGAATACCCTGAGATGTGCATGTTAGGAATGTTTGCATGCATCAATCAATAGGTGTTAAATTGAGTATCCTGCATAACTTAATCCTTTTGGATTACATTCCTGCTAGAACCCTTCCCAAAGGCTACCATTCTTGTGTTGTGATTCTGCTTGTCATTTGTGCTTCCTTGTTTTAGTGTTCCACTCAACACATTTACTGAAACTTGATAACCTTGTTAGATCAATTAAATGAGGCTACCACATAATTAGTGCAGGAGTTGTTCACAATGCCAGGTGAGAATGTGAAAGACTCTAAGTGCAGCTCCACTGGACAAGTGGGAGTAAAAATGTGCTGTCACATTTAAGTTTACTGCAGTAACTCTGCTGAGCAATCTCTTAAAACGATGACTGAGATGGAGTACCAGAGAGAATGAACGATGCCATGATGTGAGGCCAATGGTGAATGGCTCTCATTGAGAGTCTGGAAAGAATCTCATCATCCCTTGAAGACCATTCCACAGAACAATCTCAATGACAGGAGTATGATCTTTGCAGAATGCCCTCTCCATTGCTGGGGGTGGTGTGGGTATGGGTGGACAAGCCTTGTGCATTTGGAACTGGGATGGGGAGTTCAGGTTTGAGTCTTGAGCCCCACCATGTGTCCACTGAAAGCTCCTGGAGGTAGACCTCCAGACTGCAATGTTTTGTATGGAACTGAATGGATTCCTCCAAAAGAAGAGCTGGATTGGGAAGTGCATGGCATGCTAATGATGGGAGAAGAGAAGGGTGCTGTGGAGGACCACTGCCAATGGGAAGAGGGACAGAGCAGGAGGGAGGGAGGGAGGTAGACCAAGAGGCTGCCAAGACCCTGCAACAGAAGAAAAGAAAGCATGCAAATCAAGGGAGAGGAAAGGACACGAAAGTAGATATTGTAACCACAATACCAGCAAGGTCTCCTCCTCTGGTCCAAACATGGTAAAGAGAGAGTGTGGGCAGCTGGGATCCAATGGGGGTGGATTTCTGGAAGAAGGATACAATGTCCACATGCAGACACATGTATTACTCTTCCTTCTTCTTGCTCCTGTGCTACTTGTTCACCTGCATACCCCCGTCCTCTTAATGCAAAAAGGAGAAAATAATTCCAGCTTTTGGTTCATTTACAATTAATGTCAGAGGTGAAAAATCATGGGGGTATGTGCACCACCTCTGACACACTACCACACCCTCCCTCACCCACATGAAGGTCATGATGTATGTATTATTGCTGGTGATGGACCATGAGAAAGAGTGAGACAGTTCCATTTTGAACTAGGAGCCTACAAAGGTAAGCAAAATACTTCTGTAGGAATGGGAAGGACAAGAATCCCATCCCCATGCATTCAATCAAGGGTGCTGTGGATATGAGAGCATGGTACTCTTGTTCAACACTTCCTTCCATATTCCTCCTCCTTTTGATTTTCTTTCCCATTCTCCAGAGTTTGTGATTTTTCTAACAAGAAACCTGGGCAATGAATTATTTTCTAGGGCATTGTAACATGCATGTGTTGCCTGTGTATAAACTCTTATCATCCTCAATTATGTATCACATATAGCTTTAACAAATACTTCATTACAATCAAATCAGAGACAAGCTTAGAATTTCATGCTGAGGAGGAGGAAAATGGATATGGGTGTGAGGTAAACAAGGGAGGGAGAAAGGAACTGGGTTCTGTGCTGAAGGGGAAGAAATAGATAAAGATGAAGCAAAATTTCAAGTGTTGGAAGGAGGAAGAGAGAAAGGAGGTGAGTTTTAGACAGAAGAAGGTGGAGAGAAATATTAATGGAGGGCTCAACATTGTTGTTGCTGTTAAAAACCAACACTCATGATTAATAATGGTACTATTGCTCATATGGTACTTAATGGTACCTTGGGTTTTTAATACTAAAATATGAGCATAATATATCTGTTTTTGTAATTTGAAAGCAGATGACAAAAAGAGATAACTTCATTTTTAGAAGACAACATTGGCTAGATGCAAGAAAAATATCCCAATGCCAGGATTTTGCATATGATTTAAAAAATCATTCAATTTATTATGGTTATCTATTTGGAAAGAGATGAGCAAAATTACAAGGTAAATGGATCATCAAATCAATATGAGAATATTTTTAAATGAGGACCAAAGAAATTAGTTTTGCTACATGGGTTTGATGATGTTTGGGTATGATATAGGAACACATTTAATTTCCAAAACATAACTATCTAAAATCCTTTTTCCATTAGAGTAGTTTTAATTCAACTGAGCAACTGAAGATAAATAGTTATATTTTAAATTTAGTTGGAAGAACATACTTTAAAGTAAAAGGTATATATTCATTTGTAGAATTTATAATACAATAACACATGCAAAAAAAATATATAAAAAATGGAAGGTGAATTATTAAGTGGGTCAAAAGATTTTATTGAGTATTAAAAAAAATCTTTGCAGCATTGGAAGACAGAACATCAATGCATATATATATATATATATATATATAGCATTAATTTGGTAGCAACTGTGATGATAGGAGAGAAGGTCACCATGGATGGTAATAAGAAAGAGCTGTAAAAGAATGTGAAAGGTACATGACAAGTGGTATACAGGGTTGGAATATGTGAAAGAAAGCAACAAATAAGGGCTTGCTTCCATTGAGGGTGCAAGGCTTCAATAGCAAAGCAAGGCTTCAACATCAACAACTCCACAACACAGGCAGTGAGTGGTGCTTGGGGGGAGTGCCCTCATTGCACATCCATCCTCTTGGTCACTCAAATTGCAGCTTCTGAGGGTTTCATCCTCCCCATTCCTTCCTTCCTCAAGCCTTTGTGCTCCATCCAAAGAGGAGGTGGGTGCATTCTGTCCTCCTCATACTCCCTTGTTGGACCTTTTTGTTGAATGATATCATATCATTTGGAGTGCAAGCTAGGACCTGTACAACATGTTATAAGTTCCACAAAGTGCTGCCTCTTCTCTTGTTTTGGCACATTCATGTTTGCAGTATTAATGAAGTTTCATTTTTGTAACATGGTATTAGAACCCTAGATGCACAAGTACCATATATGAAAAATTTGAATGAATTTTGTGGATAAAGTTTTTTAGACAAATATTTTACAAATGAATTGTTCCTGTCTTACTACTGCCAAAGCTTGGCAGTTGCACTACTGGAATATAAAACATTATTTCATTAAGCAATTTGTGGAGAAAGGATAGATTGTATTGAAATATTATTCCACAAAGTAGATTGCACTAGTTATCTTCACAAAACCTCTTTCTAGAAATAAGTTTCTAGTTTTCAATGATATGTTAGGTCTTGTTTTAATAGAGAACTAAATCCCACTTCCAAAAGAGAAGGGTTGAATGATACCATATTGTTTGTACTGCAAGCTGGGACTTATCTAGCTGTAACAATTTCCACAAAGTGCCACGTCTCTCAATGTTTGGGCACGTTCATGTTGCATTTTTGTAATACTTTTGCTTAGCATGCACATCGCTGCCTCTCCACTTCTCTGTTAGCCGCCTGCACTTCCCATCGCACTGTAGATGCATCTTCACCGTCATCAGCTGATGACTGCTCCTCCTCCTCCTCCTCGCCACTTCATCTTCCTCGAGATCATTCTGCAGTACCACCTCCGCCAACTTCTCCTCCACGGTTGCAGGGCCTACTGTGTGTATTGGCAGGGCACTGATAACACCAGCGACATAATCCAAGGATTGCTTTCCCTGACAACCCCCCCCCCCCCCCCGTTTATATCTTCGGGACGGTCTTGATGTCGGGGGAAATTGAGACGCACGAACTCGCTTCATAGTTCGGAAGCAGCTGCAGATCATTTCTATTCACTAGTCAGTAAACGACGCTGCATGAGGGCAGGCAGGTCACTTCCTTAACTGTGTTGAATTTCTGTTCAAATCAATCTCGTGCGAGTAAGATAGCACACCATCATCGCAATCGACTGCAACCTCTTCCGTGGCTTTGAAAATTCCATGCCCTACGCGATTGCCGCTTCCTGGCAATCGGATTTCTGCTAGCCGCTTTCCACTGTGTTTCTGACCCTGAGTTTGAATTACGC